TAATACTATAGTTTTATAAATATCTTCATATTAATCATAAATAATAAAAAAATCAGTGAATGATAATACAACTAAGATAATAGCTAATATATTTGCAGTCCAATTTACTTTTGTAATCACTTTAGGAATCTAATAATTATTAATAATTTAAGATAAATGTTTTCTAGATCTAAATATATTATTCTTCTCATTTATATCTAATTATCCTTTTATATCTTAATCTTAATTCTGATTTCTCTCAAATACACTATTCTTACCTTCATTCTCTTCATCTGAAATTATATCTTAATCATTTATATCTTAAATTCTATTCTCAAATAATCTCACTATTACAATTCCTTCTCCATAATTTATCTAATTCTTTTATTAATCATTATTATCAGCTCTAATTAAATATTTTTATATTCCAGAATTTTGTATTTCTAATTGATTTGATGAAATCATAGAAGAGAGATCACCTTAATCCCAAATTACTGTTTAATCAACTCTTTAAGAATTTAATTCAGCAACAAATTCACCCTAATAAATTGCCAATCGAAGATTATATCTAAATTATAAACTTAAACCATTGTTATTTTAATGATGATGTACATTAAGTTCTTAATTTATACTCTTTTCATTCCAATTAATTTCTAATCTAATCACATATCCTGCTAATATTCCATTAGTATCATTTATTATTTCATTCATATAACAATTAAAGAAAATTTCAGATTCATCTTTATCATCCTTAATTATTTTATTACTGATTTATTAGTCTGATGGCTTATAATGTAGAATTCCACCATTTTTACTTAAATATTATTATTTTGATTAACTAAAATTTGGAAAAAGATCTGTCAACATTATCTTTCTATGTGATATTGATTTATAATCAAGGTTTAATATAGGTATACATGATGCAGTTACACAATCAATTAATTCATCAGCATCTACTATTAAGTAACAAGTTGGCTTAAAACACTTGATTGGTCTAAATTGAGCAGCCAATTATAAATTATCATCTTGTGATTAAATAATCTTAAGTGTTAAAAAACAAGGAGTAATATAATTAGATTTCAATTTTACAAATATTAATCTTTCTTTATTAATATTTTTATTATCATTTGTTTACATAAACCTATCAAAATATGAATCATGAAATTTAGAATATAAACTTGGCATAAATATATTAATTTTACGATTGATCATCTCAGATTTAATATATCCAAAGAGATTACAACATGAGAGATTTATATTAATAATTTAAGCAAATTTTTCTGGAGCAGTAGATACCATTATAATAGCATTTGATTCATAACATAAATCTTCATTATTTAAAAGTTAAATCATTTATTAATTTCTTATTTTTAGATTTTGCTATTATAATTTTTTAGATTTATCTAATAATTCTTCTCCATAATCTTTATCTTAAAGTACTTCAATAATAAATTTAGCATATAATCTCATAGCTTTAGGTAAATTTTAAGTCATTTTTTACATTTTATTCCATAATTCTTCAACTTAAATAATAGCT